TAAAAAAAGTCTAAATTTAGTTCGTAGAGAAAGGTTTTAACCAGGTCACTTGTTGATGTTCAGATAACACAAGTATCTCACACTTTGGCCTGGTCCACACTAACCCCCCCACTTCGGACTAAGGTACGCAAATTCAGCTACGTTAATAACGTAGCTGAATTCGAAGTACCTTAGTCCGAACTTAACGCGGGTCCAGACGCGGCAGGGAGGCTCCCCCGTCGATGCCGCGTACTCCTCTCGCCGAGCTGGAGTACCGGCGTCGACGGCGAGCACTTCCGGGATCGATCCGGGATCGATTTATCGCATCTAGACCAGACGCGATAAATCGATCCCAGAACATCGATTGCCTGCCGCTGGACATAAGGTAAGTGTAGACGTACCCTTAGTGAAATGCTCAGCATTTACCCTCTATTTATACTTGTGCTACATGCTACACCACAAAGAAGCAACCAACATGTTTTTCCTGGCATCAACCAAAAATATTTCTGGGAGCGACATGTAGAATATCTGATTGTACCTCAGAAAATCTAATTAATACCCCATCCCACATAATTTATACAGTAAGATAACAGGGGTTATTTGTATATTATATTGCATAAACCTCACTTCTCTCCTACAATCTTGATCAATGTCACATCTCTCCTAGACTGTAAATGTGGGGCAAGGCCTTTGACCAATTTCTCTGTACCATGTCATATGGCACTATATCTATAGCAGGGGTAGGCAACCTATGACACGTGTGCCAAAGGCGGCACACAAGCTGATTTTCAGTGGCACTCACACTGCCCGGGTCCTGGCCATCGGCCCAGGGGGGGTTCTGCATTTTAATTTAATTTTAAATGAAGCTTCTTAAACATTTTAAAAACCTTATTTACTTTACATACAACAATAGTTTAGTTATATATTATAGACTTATAGAAAGAGACCTTCTAAAAATGTTAAAATGTATTACTGGCACGCAAAACCTTAAATTAGAGTGAATAAATGAAGACTCGGCACACCACTTCAGAAAGGTTGCCGACCCCTGATCTATAGAGTGCATTTACAGAAGTTATGTAGTGCAGGCAATGTACGACGCAAAGCGAAGATAGGCGGATCATGTAGTCTGCAGGCAAGACAATAGGTGGACAACCCATATCAGTAACCGGATCCCCAGAGACCGCTGGGCAGACCGAAAACGTGCTGGGCCGATCCCATGATAAAACTCTTTGGCCAGAAATGAAAAGAACGTGCTTGCAACAAAATGGAATGGTGTGGCGTTGACTGGCATTCGTGGAGGGGTGGACGAGGAAAATCCAGACAAAGGTGATTTACAGAAGTTGACTGTTTCAGCATGGTCTTTCATTGATGCCCAAACCAAGATCCTTTCTAATTCCTATGGCCTTCCCTCTACGTTTATGATCCCAGTGAGCTGTACTATCCAGAGTGCCAATGGGCCAGTGTTTTTAGCAGGTTTGTAACTAGTGTGTTAAAAAACTGTACATTATAAATGTCTATATCTTTTGAAAAGCAACAGAGGGTCCTGTGGCACCTTTGAGACTAACAGAAGTACTGGGAGCATAAGCTTTCGTGGGTAAGAAGCTCACTTCTTCAGATGCAAGTAAGGTGCCACAGGACCCTCTGTTGCTTTTTACAGATTCAGACTAACACGGCTACCCCTCTGATATATCTTTTGAATCATTCCTCAGTCATGTTTTCCCAATTATATAAAAAGTAATGACCCACGGAAATATATTAGTTTTTTTCTTCCCTCCCAACTCACAATCACAGTTGGAAACTAAGTGGCATACATGTTGGCCCTAACAAACAAAACAGGATTCCTTAACTCTTTGAAGTAGATGGAAAGGAGCAACAACTTGAAAAAACTTTTAACCAAATCAAAGAGTTAAATTTCTAGCTTCCTTCAAATTTTTCAGATTAAATTAGGCCTTATAAAACAAAGTAAAAGACCGTGCTTTTTTTTAATTAAATAAAAGTTCTTCCAACTCCCAGCCCTGAAACAAGTGACTTGACTAGCATCACACAGGACTTCTGTGGCAGAGGCAGGGATAGAATCCTGTTCTCCAAGGCAGTATTTAACTGCCTTAACAATGACCCCCTCCATTCTCTTCCTGCACTCCACTGCCTAATTCACTCCACATCTCCCAACTTCTGGTACACTACAGGAAAAAAAATGTGTGTGATCATGTAATTAAAGAATGTATCACATTGCTTGTATGCACAAAGGATGCACAGACAGCCTTAATTCTGGCATTTCCTAACTTCTAAATGCTTGACTTTGCAACTGTAATAGTGTTCTTTTAACACCGTTTTTGAGTAAATTCCTTGCTTTTTAAAAAAATCAAACTGAAAAAAACAAAAATTCTATCAAATAGCATCATATTGACACCTACATGGATGATTAGTACCATTGGAACCTTTAGATCGCCCACACAGACGACTTCTGCCATTTGAACTAAGGGGTCCCCAAACTGTGGGGTGTGCCCCCATAGGGAGGCCTGAGGAAGGTTCAGGGAGTCTAGCAGGGCCAGGGCCAGCCCCCAGAGGGGAGAGGGGTGGGTAGGAAGCACCACCCAGTCCCACTCTGCCCCAGCCCAGTTCTGGCCCCAGCCCCAGCTCCGCTCCACCCCCTGCTCTGCCCCCAGCCCAGCTCTGGCTGCAGCCACAGCTCTACTCCATCCCCTACTTGTCATCCAGCCCGGTTCTGCCCTCATTCGCTCTCTGCCCCCAGGTCAACTCGGCCTCTGCCCAAATTCCTTACCCATCCACAATTCTGCCCCCAGCTCCACCATCAACTCAAGCTCCTCCATTATTGGTATGGAGTGCGACAGGAAAAGTTTGGGCACCACTGCTCTGTGTGGTCTGGCAGTAGAGGGGGATGAAACACACACACTGACAATGGGTTTCAGTGATATTTGCTGGCAGCAGAGGAAGCTCGGGAATCTTAAATTCCACTCCAGCCTTTGGAGGGAGTGTCTCTGGTGGACACGGACTCTTCTGTCCATTCCATCCAAGACTTCTTCTGCTCCATGCCTTGCAACATGTCCGTCTCTTTCCCACCCCTCACTCTTCGTCCTAGTGCCATTCTCCTCACCTAGCCAGTCCCTGCCTCCACTCCTCGGGCTTCTAACCCTATTCCCAATCTCACTGACCAACAAATCCTTGCCTCACCCCCTGGACTCCTCCTCCCATACTCCTTGTTCAGCTATTCCCAGTTCCTCCTCACCCCCTGGCTCCTTGCCCACCCAGTTCCCCTTCTCTCATAACCTTGTCTAATCTGTTTTCCCCTGTTTCCCCAGCCTCCAGTCCCATCCTCCACTACCCATGTTCTCCATCCTCACTGGCTTTCAATCCCAGACTCTCTCCCTAGGTTCCTTGCAATCTGTCTCCCAGTTCCTGTCTCTCTGCCCAGCCAATCCCAGTCACCCTTGCCCAATTCTTTGCCCCAATCTACTTCTTCCCTCTCCCTTCCTCCCACATCCAGCTCTTGTGCCCTCTGCATTCACATCAGACAGCTTCCTGCTGCTCACGTCCTGGGTCCAGTAGCGGTGCATTGGGAACATAAGAGAGTCAGCCTCCCTGCTTTCAGTCCTGGTGCCCAGTCGTGGCCGGCAGCAGCAATTACAGGGCAAGTCCTGCTCAGCCTGGGCTGGAGTTATGCTCAGTATGGACAGAATCTTCAAAGAATTTAGCTGTGAAGTGTTGGCAAGTCATCATCAAGCAAGTGTGAAATGCAATTATTCAAACTTGGCCAAGATTATTCTGATTTGAACAGAGATGGAGAAAAGCAAATCCCTAACAGTGTTACCCCCACCCCCTGCCAAATGTCAAGACTCTGCTTTAAAGCATGGGGGTGCGATAGCTTCCGAAAGAAAAGGTCATCAGAATTTATTATCAAGAACAAAAGATCTATTTTTTTCTAGCTCATTCTCAGAAATGCCTGAACCACTTTGCTTGAAATGTTGAAAAAATTTGGCTAAGGCAGACACCTGACTTGGAAAATGTCAGACCCAAAGGTTAAGTTTTGGCAAAGTTATACGCTACTGAACACATGGCTGTGGGAGGTGTCGGGCAATCTTAATAATGGTGCTACCAACCCTGCCTATAAAAAACACATTTACAGGGATGCAATCTTATTGTCCTTAAATTACCATTTATGCTAGTGATATCCTATCACCTTCAATGGAATTGCACAGGTGTAACTGAGCACATAATTTGAGGAGAATGGAGCTGCTAAGTAGCGCTGCAAACAGAAATTAGTTAACAATTTTCTTGATGCGTAAACCAGAAAAGTGTCCAATTTACTTTTACAGAGCTATGTTGGTTCTGCAGGATTGATACACTAGCAAAAAAAAGCTAAGTCAAATCACTAGGTAGGCAGATATGACCAAAGGAATTAGTGAAGGATGAACCAATTTTCAAACATTTTGTTTTTAAAAATAAAAAACACCCTTTGTTAATTAAACATATTAAAAGTTTTAAAGCACTGCTGCTCACTTAAGAAAGTTTTGTTTTCACTTGCTTGTTTTGAGTTTTAAGCCTTATCTACACTGATTTAGCTAAACTAGTGCAAACCTTTATGCAGTCATACTTATATTGACTTAAAACTGGTTATATTGGTTTAGCTTGCCCTGTAAATTTACCAACACGAGCTAAACAGATATAAACTGGATTTAAATTAATTTAAGAGTGTCCACACAGGGTTTTGCGACGGTTTAACAAAGCCACTTTAAAACCACAGTTTTAAACTAGTGCAACTTTGTGTGTATATGGGGCTTCTGATATGTCTGATACGTGGATTTTCCCCTGAAAACAAATATTGTAATCTTACTGATAATGTTATGTTGCAGTAAACCTCAACTACCTCTGCACTAAGCACTAGCAAATACAGTTAATCTATCTTTCAGGAGGTACACTGAAAGTGATATCATTGCTTGGTTTCAAATCTATTTCCAAAGCTTCAGTCACAAAGAACAGAAAACAGGCTTACGTTTACTTACCTCTTTTTGGCCTCTTCATATTGCCAGCTCAGTCTTACTTTGTCCACAAGTCTCGTTTTATCATCAAAGCAAAACTTTTTTTTTTTTTGGCGTTGAGGACCAGGAAGAAAAGGAAAGGTGGAGAAACACAACACATTAGTAATAAACATGGTTAAAAGAATATAAATAAAATGTATTCTCCCTACCCAAGCTTACCAAAAAACTGTCAATGTTTAAATAAAAATGTGTCTGCAAGAGATAGTTTGGATTCTTAAGATATGAAATTGGGTTATTAATAAATTACCTAAAGGTGCAGTAAGTGTAAAGTTAGGCTGTTTACTGAGAGGGCTTTCTGGAAATTAAACGAGTTAGTAACACTTAATTATGCATTGTCAAGACCTTCCTAAGTCAGAGCTCAAAATGTAAAGAATAGGATGTATCAAACGAGTGCAATATTTAATTGCTTATTACAATAGCATTCTTATTTTATGGGAAAATTCAGTGCAAAGTCATTGGGTTTTGCTTCCAAAGCAAAAAGAAAGATGTTCCCTATATGCTGAAGCATTACTCAGTATTTTAGTCCCTGGAATCCATGGCTCTTTACCTTAAATTTATCTAGAAACAAACAACAGATTAAACAGTTTTATTCCAATGTGCTACAACTGCTTCTTGAATCAAAAGGTTGCAGCACTGTCGCCATGCTGCAATTCTTACTGTAGCAAAGCGAGCTCTCTTCTGCAAACCCTCCTTGGGCAATATGCTCCATCACATGCAGCTTTAGTTCCTCCCCAGCCACATATAGCTTAATAGCTATAACTTCTCTGGATCCCCATACCAGATCACTGAGCTTCTAGTCCCTTGTCAGTTGCCTGTCCTACTCTATGTACCTTCAGGCACAGGTAACACAATCCACCAATTCCCCACTCACAACCACCAGCTGATACTAATTCCCCCACTGCAGAATATTTTTCAAATTCAGGAGTGCAAGGGTTATCCCTATGCAGTTATACATTTATATTTTCTAACCAAATGTATACTATACAAACATAGTCTTCAAAATATACCATAGTTGGTTTGTTTTGGATGGTATTCAGTGTGCATTCTGAAGCAGAGAACATGGCTATTATCCTTTTGGTAAACTAGGATACTGCAATCTGATCCACCACCAGTTTCAACAAATGACTCTCCAATTGTACCACATGTCTCTCACTTTGGACCACGTGGGAAAAGTTTAGTGCCAGATCAGTTCCCTCAAACTCTCCAAAGATCACAATTACACATCATATTTATAAAAAATTCCCTTTCTACTCACTCATCGCTCATGGGTGAAAGGGACTAGAGGGAAAACAGACCAAAGAAAAATGCATAGTATACAACACTCAGAAAAAGCGGTTAACTTAAAGCTCTTGAATTATAACAAGCTTTGTATCTGAAGTAACATTCAAATTCTTATACTATCGCACTGTGAATGGGCTCTCAACTCCACTTCAAATTTCCTCAGAAGCAGTTGCTTACTTTTTGCCCATGAAAACCTAATTCAAATGACCAAAGTAACAGTGCATGGTAACCATTTAACCAGCATGCACACAACAGTGTAATTCTCATTGGGTTGTTTAAGTGTGGTCCTCTTATACTTTTCTTGAACATGATTTAAAGAAGGGCTTGAAGGAAATGACAGCGAAGGCCTGACCGACCAGATCAAGAAGGAAGTGGATTTCTTATAAAGAAAAATATTAGAGCCCTAATTTAAATTGTAAATTTCCCTCTATTTTGGAAGAAAGCAGTAGAGATCAACTTAGCTCTTGAATCTTTTAATCCATATGTAAAGACGAAACCAGTGTGGTAAAAAAAACACAACAGCTCAGAGGGTAACAGATCCTTGAGGCAAATGTAAAACTGGGCACTTACAACCCTTTATTTTTTTTCCCTCCAGCATGGCTGTAATACCAGTAAAAGTTTGATGCTTGGTGCAAACAGCTGGCAACAATTGCACTATAAAAAGGCAAAACCACAGACTGGGAGGCTTGTGAACACTCCTGTGGGGAACTATTATTCAGGGTCTACTTTGCCATCTGCCCATTAGTCATGGAGATGGTTAGAAAGTGATCACTTCAGCCCAGACTGATGGAACTGAGAAGCAGATTCCTTTGTAAACACATTTCACAAAGGCCTTTCGCATGTTTGAGAATTAGAATCACAAAGCATATAACTAGTGAACATTATTTGCACACTATTAAGCCAAAATGGATTCTTTTAAAAATGGAGAAAAAAACAAAAAGAGTATTTTCTTCCAAGCATCCATCTTTGAATTAAAATGGAAAACGAACCATAATCATGTGACTAACACAAAAGCTGCTTATTTTCCACAGCAAACATCTCACATTGGAACACATACCTCTCCAGTGATGTCAGTTTGAGAACAAGCATCACAGTGTTGTTGAGGTAAACAGGAATCACGGAGTGAACTAGAATTGTGCTGGAGACCTTGCAAGGAATCTGTAATACAACAGCTATTCCTGAATCCATCCGTTAGCTTCGCCAGGCTCTAAAAAAGAACATTAAAAAAAGTGATCTTGTAGAATCTAATTTAAAAAAAATAGTAGAATGATACTCCACCCACTACTTTTTCTATTATTGGGATATAACAGGACGTTTATTAAAAAAGCTACCTGTAAGAAAGTCAAATTTATCATTTCATTCTGTGAAATGGGAACTTTGTTTTGAAACTCCATTTCCAAAAAACCCCCAATGACTGTATATTGTATGTATGTGTATATTAAAATGAATGTAGTTTAAATCCAAAAACAACAAATAGTTAAGAAATATCTGTCAAAGTTTCAGTTTTCAGAGCTGTGAATAGCTCTGACTTTACACACAGCAGCTGCCATCTTCCAGGACAGACAGCAGAGAGGGCCACGTCTTACCTGCCCCTGCCTCAAACACACGACACTCCTCAGTGACTAATCTCCCACCCATCTTGAAAAAATATCACCCATTGCTTCAATTTTAATCACAGTTAATTTCACCGTTGGATTCTACAATCGTAAGGTCCATGCAGCCAGAGAGGTTTTTCCACTTGGATTGCGGGAAAGGCAGCACTATGAAATCTGTGGATCTGAGCAGACTGTGTAGGTAAGGGTACAGAACAGCACAGAGGGAGAAGGGCAGGTAAGACACAATCATGCAAAATAGCCACTGCCAGATGGAAGGCAAGTTTTCAATTTGTTAAATGAAATGTTAATTAAAAGAAGAAAGCTAATATCATGATTTTTATACAAGCTTAGACAACAGGATTTGGGGGGGTTTAAAGTTCCCATTAAGCAGAGTTTCTCTTCAAGATTAATAGCCAACTTTTAATTTCATAATTTGACTTTTTGATTATTCACCCTCTCCTGCAACCAAATGTTTTCAAAATATTCTTTTTCTTTTGCCACAATTAAAACAATAACCACACAGTCTGGCATGCATGAGAGAGACCACTGGCATCCTCCACTGTGAAAAATTTAAACATAAAATATTTAAATAAACTTCTCCCACACATTCCCAAAAAGAGATAACTCTCACTAACAAATCCCATCAAAAATTAAGTTAACCTACTATAACCATACTGACCAGCATCAGGTAGAAGACTGTTACCTAACAAAGAACTAAACTGATTCTAAATTACAGAGGCTCAATGCCAGTGAAACAGTTTGCTGATTTTAGGTTCCTATGGGGATTGCTAATTTGCAACAACCTGTAGTTATTAGGCACACCCAATTAATTAAGAAAAAAGGACATAATATAGCTCAGTGATTCTCAAACCGTAGCTCACAAAGAACTGCAGACAACATGGTACTACTGGCATCTCCCCCTTGCTTACAATTGGACAATTACAGAAGCAAGAAAAAAGCCCTTCCTGAAAGCTAACAGAGGAGATTTCCATACATGCTCTACCACATGGTGTGGTCCCACTTTCATCTGTACTGCCCTGCTCAAAGCCATTCATCTCCACGAGGTATAGGGGAAATGTAGCTGTGCTGGGTGCAAGGGCGGCTCCAGGCACCAGTGCACTGCGGGGGGCGGCCTGCCGGTCACCGTGAGGGTGGCAGTCAGGCTGCCTTTGGCGGCATGCCTGTGGGAAGTTCGCCGGTCCCACGGTTTCGGTGGCAATTTGGCGGTGGGTACGAATCCGCGTTACCAGTGGACCTCCTGCAGGCATGCCGCCGAATCTGCATTACTAGCATTACCACGTTACCAGCGGACCTCCTGCAGGCATGTTGCCGAAGGCTGCCTGACTGCCGTGCTTGGGGCGGCAAAATACATAGAGCCGCCCCTGGCTGGGTGTAGGGCAATGGGGGTCTTCTGCCTGAAACTTCTCCCACTTCATCACTTCATAGCTCTATCCTGGGGACACTATACCAAATACACACACTATCAGATACAATTTTGGGGCAACATGTACTTCATGTTAGATAGAAACAACTCTTCCACTTCAATATTTCCTACTCAATCTCCCAACCCAGTAAAAAAAAAGAAAATCTCCCCAGGGCTGTCGATGGATGTTAAAATTAAAAAAGAAAACACACACTGGAGCAGACAACAAAATCCATATAAATATATACTTGGGAGGCATGGGGAAAGAGCAGCTCTCAGAAGTCTAACCACGCATACAAACTTTTATAAACATTCCCTCATCTTTTTGGAGAAATAACACCACATATATGGCATTATTTCTAACCACAGCACCCAGTTTAAACCTGTCCACCTCTTCCTTCCTTGCCTCAGACTTCTCTCCCACATATCCTCATCCAATTATCATATTTCTACAACAGCCACAGTTTTCTGAGCACCTACACAAGACTGAGTCACCTCTGCTATGTTTAGATCCACTGCCTACACCTTACAGATTTAGATTAAGAGGTAGTTATGAAGTTTTCTATTTCCTTTTTCTGGAAGAATTTACAAAGTGTTTACACATAAAACTCCCAACTCCTCCATAACCACTGCTTTTTCCAAAATGTGTTTATTGTGAGAGAGATTTTTTTTTCCTTCGCCTGCTAAGCAAGGATTTTAAAATGTAAGAGTAATATGGAAAATTTTAAACAGACTTCATACTGGTTCTACATAACTGAGATACTCATATTTTGAAATATTGTTATTTTGTTAAATCTTAAAATTGGGTCAGGATTGTAAAGTATGCTGACATTGATTAATATTAATTTGTTTCAAAATTAGTAGTTACATATTTTAAAGACTATTGCACCATAAAATGCACTGGAAGCAATATACAATTGTGACAACTTCAATTCTCATCAGTAAAACGGATCTAAAACCAATGACCAATATCATCCTAAATTTCTCATTTGTTCTATATGACTTCTATTCCAGGCTTGTCAGAGGACCCATATCAGTCCATGGTATTTAACTTGATACTAGATTTGTAATTACTTAATAGAATTTTTCAGGCCACTGCTATCACTCTTAAAGTTTGTTTTAAAGGTACAATTCTCAAGACTTCTCAGTCTGTCAGGTGGACACTGTGTTGCTGGGTTAAGACATAAGAATAAAAAAAATAGTCTAGTGGGAGAGTTAAAACAAGGCCAGTAGTTGAGCTGATCCAAGATTTCTCACACACAAGTCTTTAAACTGCCAGTTACTTTCCCCAAATGTGCATTATGGAATCCAGGAAGAATTGCTTTTCTAATCATTCTCACTAGCCATGGCATATGGAAGGCTGAAAACCATTTTAAAAGTTGGCCAATACAAAATAGCAAATATACTGAAAGTTGCCAAGGCTGAAATTTTTTATAGTGACTTCACTGTTCTGCCTACTTAGACAATGTTTTGTAGTCCATCAGCTGACCGTTGGGTAATGCTTCAGAGACTGAACAACTTTTAAACTATGGGAACATAATATAAGCAGATTACAAGATACCCAGATAATTAATTAAAAAAAAAGCTAACAAAACATGATGAAACTACTGCAGAGAGAGATGAAAGATACATTTGAAAGGCTATGTTAATTTACTAGGCTCCTAGAAGTTAGCAGCCAAGATATTGCCTTTCGCATACAGCAGAGCTGATTTAACAGAACCATCCTTGTCATCTTTCCAAGCCCACAGGCTCTCTGGGTTTTTTTAATAAGGTGTATAAAGCTAACGTATGGTATGAAGTTGAGACTTAAAAAAAGGAAAGGGGGAGGTTAATGCCTAATGGTAGTGAGATAGGGATGAAGAGGCTTCATGCAATCATATGCGATTACATTCCAGTTATCTGGACTAGTACATCATAGTACTGGTATTCCTCCGCTGGCTCTTGAAGCCAAAAAGGTGGATCATTGAATTTTTAAAAGGCCATACCACAAACTGCAATGGTCAAGAGAGGCAAAAATATTATTAGAGGCCTGGATAGATTTTAAATGAGGATAAGCTAATAAAATAAACACTTCATAGTTTAAAGAAGCTAGGAGGAAACATGGCATAGAGATATATAAAATAATAAGTGGATTAGCACATTCCTTTCTTTACCCTGTTTCATTATACAAACAACAAGAGAACACAAAATGAAATTAAAGACAAGTAATGTAAAACTGATCAAAGAATATATTTTCTTATGTAACATAATTACTCTGTGGAACTCAAGGTATCCATGAAGTCAAGAGTTTAAATGGATTCAAATAAAGATGAGACATTTATATGATTTAGTTATACTATCTAGGGTATAAAAGATTCAGGGATATGAACTATCAGGCTCAGGACATAGGCCAACCACTAACTGATAGGGATTAGGAAGAAACTTTCCAGATGGACAGTTTATGCAGTAACCTGCTTAAGATATATGTTTTGCACCTCTCCTCTACTTCTGATCAATGTCAGACAGAATATCAGACCACTAGTCTGATTCAGTTTAGCAATGCGTATGCACCTACAAACAAGGGAAAACATCAGAGACCAGGGGAAGCTACATTTTTGCAACTATCCATCCAGTAGAAAGTTTCTTACCTGCATAAGGTCCTGCCTTTCTTTCTCACCCATACAAATAGCTTTTTTTATGGTTCGGAGCTCATTCATTATGGCCTGGGCTTCATCCAGTTTATAATTTGTATGAGCACTTGACATCTTACGATCAATCCTGTTGGCAAAAATTCAGAGAAATTTAAAAGTTAACTAATTATGCAAAGGTTCCGAAAGTATTGGTTGCTAATATGCCACTTCATTTCTATGAATAAAATGGTATATTTACTTTGAATTAACAAACACCAAGTATTTATAACATTCTAAAGTTATCTGACTATAAACCAGGAAACTAAAAAGGCAATGCAGTTGGCCCAACTCAGCTTCCCCAGAACTGACAAGTTTCCTGTTTTTAACCTCCGGAATCAGAGTTCACAGTTCATGCAACATAAACATACACTCTTAAGGCAGTTTTATATAATAAAAATAAAATTAACTTACAAAGTAGTATCACAGATGGTCAAGTTGAAATAGACCCCTTAGTGTAAGCTGCTCCAATTCCCTGCCAATGCAGCATTGATTCATAGAATATCAGGGCTGGAAGAGACCTCAGGAGGTCATCTAGTCCAACCCCCTGCTCAAAGCAGGACCAATCCCCAGACAGACTTTTGCCCCAAATCCCTAAATGGCCCCCTCAAGGATTGAACTCCCGACCCTGGGTTTAGCAAGCCAATGCTCAAACCACTGAGCTATCCCTCCCCCCATTCATAGATTCCAAGGCCAGAAGGGACCGTTGTGATCATCTAGTCTGACCTCCTGTATAACATAATCCATAGAACTCCCCCAAAATAATTCCTTTTGATCTAGAGCATCTCTTTTAAAGGAACATCCAATCTTGATTTTAAAATGGTCAGTGATAGAGAATCCGCCACAACCATTGGTAACTGGTTCCAATAGTTCATTACCATCACTGTTAAAAATTTACACCTTGTTTCCAGTATGAATTTGTCTAACTTTCAGTCACTGGATCTTATTATACCTTTGTCTGCTAGACTGAAGAGCCCATTATCAAATATCTGTTCCCCATGTTGGTAATTCTAGACTGAGATCAAGTCACCCCTTAACCTTCTCTTTGTTAAGTTAAGTAGACAGAGCTTCTTGAGTCTACCACTATAAGGTGTGTTTTCTAATACTGTACTATAATCATTCTTGTGGCTCGTCTCTGAACTCTCTCCGATTAATCACCATCCTTGCTCTTTACAGCATATTTCCTAGGACAGGGGTCGGCAACAAACAAACCGGCCCGGCCCGCCAGGGGCTTACCCTGGCGAGCTGCGTGCCAAAGGTTGCCGACCCCTGTCCTAGGACTTTGTTCAGTCTTGTTTTAAAAGTGACTAGTGATGGGACTCTCACAATTGTCCTTGGGAGACATTTGTAAAGTCTCAGGTTTTATTGTCAAGAAGTTATGATTGGTATCTAACTAGGAATAATCAATACTTATTCTTTCTGCTGGATTTCAGTATTTACATCAAAATGGGATCTCATGGCTAGCTTGAAATCACAGGACTGTCCCACAAAATTTCCAACTCAATTCATAGCAGCACACACTCTGGATTTTATCTTTGGTCTGGGAGTTGGGGTTGTGAAGATAATATCTTTATCATAGCCAGACCACTTCTTGCTCCAGATTAAGGTCAGCTTCTTTCAGGGGGAAGATCTGTTAGGGGGCTGACGGACCTAGTGCAGGTCCAGATATCTCTGATGGGTTCTGCTGCTCAATCATTAAATCACTATGTCAACAGTTGGCTGATTATAACTTGTTATCAGTAATCATTGACAGACCAACACCTACAAACCCTCTCCCATTACCTCATCCTCACCACTCTTCTGGAGATACCAATTAAAAATAAAACCAGAGTCCCTACAGAACTTTCTAGAATAAACACTCAGATTCAGATTTCAAAACTGACTGGGGGATTTAGCCAGCCACTCACTGAAGTTAATGTTAATCTCAACTTCTATGCCTACAGTAGTGTAAAAGAAAGTGTGTTTAGGGGGAGAAAGCATGCATAGGGGAAGAGCTAGTAAGAATACTGTTATGGGCTATATGCCACAGCTAATAAAGGAAATTTGTCAGCAGATATCTCATAATTCAATACAAAGATTCAGTAATACAAAGTGAGAATACTCACAAACTGTATTTACTTGACAATACTATAGATACTAAGAGCTCAAAAATATTCTTTATGGTAAGCTGACAAGAGTATTGTCAAAGCAAAAGTATTATAAAATTTAAAAAAAGGGACAAGGATTTCTGGCTTAGATAGAATGCAAATTATGACAAAAATATCAAAGTGCGAACAAGTATTTACGATAGGGAACAAGCATACCACAGGAAATTATCTTTCATATTCTAGCACAATGATATAAGATAAACAGAGAGAAGATTTATAGCCACCGTGAGGCTGGCAGACCAGGTGCCAGCTGATGCCAAAGCCCCAGGCCTCACTGAACACTTACAAGTGCATAGTTGGAAACCAGTCTTGCTTATTTGTGTGTTAGCATTATCAAAATAAATAGTATATGTTAAGATGATAAGAATGTGGTTAGTGTTTTATAAAATGCGTGTAGGATACTGCATATATTGTTCTCACTCAACTATACCCCAAGTCAGAACATAACAGCAAACATCTGCATTGTATATATCCTTATAACTAAGTAACCCATCAAACAAGAAAAAATGCAAATGATGGTTTCTTACAAGATGTTAAATCCTGTTCATCAACCAAAACATGAGCCATTGTGTGAGATCAAGGATCAAAGACTTTGTTAAGTGTGTTCCTCCCCACCCTTCAGAAGAAGGGGCCTGTGTGGGAACTGTTGCTGTCAGCTTGGTTTGTGTGAGAAGAAGCTATAAATACGGACACAAGGAAAAATTCTTCATCTCTGCACTGTCTGGATTCTAACTGAAAGAGAAGACTAAGGTCCCCAGAGTTACTCTGCGTAGCCCTAAAAAACTTTTGTGAACTGGCAGATTACTACATCTCTGTTACCTTTCAAAGTTATAGACTGACTCATCTATAAATATATTTTCACCTGCTTTAACCTCTGAACAACTCCTTTTTTCTTAACTAATACACCTTTAGATAGTTTACTACAGAACTGGTTGCCAGCGTTGTATTTAGTGTGACATCTGGGGCGCAAATCAACCTGGGTGAATGACTGGTCTCTTTGGACTCGGTGCAACCGGAATATTTTGTGATTTTTTGTTGTAAATGACCACTTATCACATAGTCCAGTTTGCCTGGGTGGCAAAATAGACTGGAGTGTCTACGGGGACTGGCTGTGACTCCATGTAAGACTACTGTAGTATTTTGGGAGTTCACATTTGTTACTACATTGGTGAAATCTAATTATGGAACATACCACCAGTTTGCAATGTCTGCCCTACGGTAGCCATTCACAGTCATGAGCCACTCCAGACAGCGTGACAGCCACCACAAAAGGAGGACAACTAGCTGCACAGCATCAATTAACAAAGATTTACTTTTGATGTCCTATCTAGCAAGATGTCATTAAGCTACTCCATGCTAGCAGAATCCTGACACAATCTTGAGCTACTCAGTGCTGACTAGCAGAAACTCAAACTTTATTGAAGAAGAGAGGCTGTTGAATTGCAATATGGAAGGAGAAAAATGATAATAAAAATGATAATTTGCTGAATACATTGAAAATACTAAAATATGACACTGAATACACTAACGTATAAGAATAACTTTATATATAGCCTGAAGAGACAAGTCTCTTGCCCCGTCATATAGCATGTGCTACCACCACCCACTTTCATAAACTATTTTGCTAATTCTGGTGATTTTATTGAGAGTCTTTACTGAAGGACCAAGCTCCTGGAGTCATGTCACTAACCTCCTGGTTGCAAAGAAAAGGTGGGAAACATGAACCCTGAAATTTCGAACACCAGAGAGGATGTAAAGGTGTTACTTTAAACAAATCTCATGATTCTTTTGGGCCTGACTGCTAGGAGCTGGCAGCACTGGTTTAAGATTCTGACAAGATTAGACCAAACCACAGTAGGAAAAGTGACCTTAACTCACTAAGAATTTCATATGGTACACAAAGTACTTGGCTTTAACCCAAAGTCACGTTAATATCAAGAACTTGGATTCAATCCAAGTATTAGGCCAGATGGCCCCCTTCTACCCTCCTGTTGCTTCACATCTACAAGAAGACATCTAGGGAAAAGAAAGATATTTAACTTCAAGTGGAATTTTCTGCAGGTTAAGTATCTACTAATTCATGTTCTTGGGGCAGGGTTGGAGGCTGACTAGTGAGTTTTTATTTTCTCAGACAAAGAGTCATTGTCAATCATACTGTTCACAGTATAATTGGCTGGCATACAGTCAATCCAAGCTGACCTAATATTCTAAGGCTGTAGGTCCCAAACTTTTTACTAAGGTGACCCAGACTAGCAGAATCCTGACACAGTCTTGATCAATTTTAACAGGCAGCACTACCAGCCCCACCTATAATAAAATCTGCCTGATATCCCATTGAAGTCAACAGGAGTTTTAACACTGACTTCAGTAGTAATAGGTTCAGGCCCCTAACTACTCATAATATTTTGCTGTTTGGAAACTATGAAAGGGTTTTAAAGACCTAACATTCACCCAGATGCAAAGCTCAAAATACGATTCCTAACATTGCTTAAAGTCACACTTAAAAATGAAAGGAAACACATGATTGCAAACCAAACAATTAAGACTTCACGCCTCCTATTTCATACTTGGTAATTAGCTGAAAATGTAATTAATAAAATAATTTTGACACAGCCTAGTGAGAAGGCAGAGAGCAGTGGTGAAGACTGAAGTTTTTAAAGAAATTCTACAGTAGAAGAGGAATTAACAAGGTGACTGAGCCTAAAGCACCTGCAAAAAAAAGTTTTCCATTTAAAAAGGATGGAGGAGATGATCTACTTGGCTGTCTATTTTGTGACAATGCACTTTCTCTGTATGGATTGATACAACAAAATATCAGATTCACACATGATTCAAAACATATATCCAAAAAACAAGCCTTTCCAGAGCAGCCTTTTTAAAAAACACAAATCTCCTGGCTCATAAGTCAAGAAGTCACTGTGGAGAACAGACAGAGATCAGCAAAGCAAGAGTGCTCTAGAGAAATTCTTGAAGAAAATTCCATCACAACTTCAAACAACACCCTAACAGACATATAAATAAACAATAAGGATGAGAAATGAGACAAAGCAGGAGCAATATCATGACTTCAATGTCAGTGACAAACAAGCATCAAAGCACTCCAGACATGACTGTTCTGTGCTTAACTTTTAAACTGTCTGATCAAAGGTACCTAAAAAACTATTAGTTGATCAGATTCACAAAATCCTATTCTAAAGTAATACTGATTTTTCCCCCCCTGGATGTAAGCAATTTAACTTAGACTAAAATCTTGGACATTAATATTTAGGTTCAAAACTACTTCTCAGGCTTTTCTTTTCACAAAACCATACAAGAGAAAGGTTTGAAATTGCCTTCACATCACTTTCTTTGTTCTTGGATCTTCCTAGGCAGGTGATTAATCCTTCACAGAAACAGCAGAACAGAGCCTTAAATCAGAACCCTGTCATCCTCATTTTAAGTTAACCTCATGTTGTCATGGGAAAGAAGGGAAAAGCATAAATAGGTTTTATCTAGTCTTAAAAGTTAATATTGATAAAGATACTAAGTCACTGCGTAAGGCATAAATGTTTGTGTGTGTATGTGCTACCTGTCATCTGAATACAACAGCATTCTGAATTATTGCTCATCTTCAAACAGCCAAGATCTTGTCACTATATTAAATCGTTTCTTTATGTGTTACTATATCTTTTTCATTACTTTAGTATATTCATAATTGGTCTTCTATCATATACCTCTGACTGGCCTTGCAGTTACCTGATGTAATCAATTTAAAAGACATTTGTGTATGAGGATGACTAGTTAATATTTGCCAATTAAGTACTTTGGCCCGACAAGAGTTTTCTTCTCTTAAACTTTTAAGTATGAACTGCATCTTTCATGTGTATTTGTTGTTACTTACTAAGTACCATGTTTAGCAAATGGAAAAGAAAGCAGCTGCCTGGTTTTAGAATAAAGCAACAAAGAGTCCTGTGGCACCTTAAAGACTAACAGATGTATTGGAGCATAAGCTTTCGTGGGTGAATAAATTAAATAAATAAATTAATGGACATATCCCATCTCCTAGAACTGGAAGGGACCTTGAAAGGTCATCGAGTCCACCCCCCTGCCTTCACTAGCAGGACCAAGTACTGATTTTGCCCCAGATCCCCAAGTGGCCCTCTCAAGGATTGAACTTACAACCCTGGGTTTAGCAGGCCAATGCTCAAACCACTGAGCTATCCCTCCCCCTATTGCTGCCTAAAAGTCAGAAATTATTAAGGACAACCGTCAGCTGCAATAGTAAGCAAACACCACCTCTACACTAAGCTCAAAAGGGAATTCTATGACCTAAAATACAAACATTCCTCAATTTTTGCATATTTTGCCAGTTTCTTCATAAACTTGCTGGCACATTAATCAATGGAATCATCATCCAAAATAATTCCAGCCAATCTTGCTTACATCAGTTTGCCTTATTATCAATGAGAGCACATTGTTAGCACCATCCATGGTTGTCTAAGTAGGGACAATTGTTAAAAATAAATAAATAAATAAAAATTCAAAAATAAAAACTTACAGCAGGAGTCTGCATTAAATAAAGTTTTGCAACACTTCCAGTTAAGTAACAAGAAAGTAAGCCAACAGGAAGAAGAGAAAGAAAAATTCCCCCCTCCCAAAACCTGCCAACTCACTCTTGTAGTGTTTCCACTCCTTTTTCTTTATACTGCAGTTCTTCCTTCATATGTGCCAACTCTCGTTTTAGTCTAGAAAGCTTAAAACAAAATATTTTTTAAGCAAAAATATGTTATGGCAGCAAATCACTGAGTAACTATTATTATTCTTTCAAATAATACTTAAAATAATTGCTCTTTCAAGAATTTAAAATTACTGTGCATTGTTCAAAGTCTAGTATTTTCAAAGTGAAAAGTGATAATCTGGTTTTTAATCTACAGTAAAACAAAATCAACAAATGCTTTAGAGAAATATTAATAAAAATCTACCCAACAATGGTCACAAAGTAGCAACATTGCCAAACGTACAAGGTAGCTGCTTCTTTGTATAATCTTCTACTGTGCTATCTGCTATCACTTGTTCTAATAGCCAACAAATCTCTATCCTCGTGTGATTTCCAATTTCCTGTCTCCCCCGGAACAGTGATTTCCCATCTAACTCTGTAGTAGACAGTCACCCAAAGACCTGCTCAACTATATTGCAAACAGCCAGCTCAGACAGCCAGAAAGGGGAAGAGGTTCAGTACTTTTTCAATGGGAAGAATGTTCGTTTAAAGTCACTAGAGATTGTGATGATTCATCTGCCCATTTTTATTTCTGTATTATAAAAGACAAGTACAAAGTGACCCTTCAGCAGCAGTAAACAGTGAAAGTTTCCTGGCAGATCATTTATTTAATTTAATAATAAGCAGCTGTTCATTATAATCTCCCCAAAATTTGGTGTGTGTCTGCAGTGACGTTTACTACCAGGTTTCACTATTTTAATAAAATTGCTCCTTAATTGATGCTTATTGTAACAGAAACACAGAATTATGTCTGGTTCCATATGGATGTTTTATATTTTTGGTTAAAAAGTCACATATGTTTTGGGACAGGCACTCCTTTGTTTGTATATGCATTTCAATAAATGATGCCGTCAACTTCCTGCCACAGAAAAAAATGAAAATGTGAGCTTCATAAACAGAAAACATAAACTGAGTCTCCCAGAGATTTAGTAGATTTTCTACAATGTATCCGAAACACTGATAAGACGTATGTAAATCACTATGTAACAAAATGCTTAACACAATGTCTCCCCTATACCCCACAAAAACAGAAATCACTACATCATCATAACAAAACAGGCAGTATATAGTGACTTCTTGGATTATCTAGTACAACCCTAATAAAATAGACTCAGCTAAAATAAGAAAATATATCATTAATATTTTCCATGTTTATATATTCAATGGTGTTATAGTATATTTAACTCTTTATATTAATTCAATATACATGAGCATGCATAACACAGAGGTTCACCCTATGTACAGAAGTAAAAAGGTGTATTTCATGGTCACTTTATTATTGGACTGGGGGGGGGGGCAGAGACTGGTAATCCATATGCAAATAGAAAAATCACTTATTTTCTTTAAGCCTTGTTTAGAGAAATTGAGTGAAATTTTAACTTGCTATATTTCCTTGTTTGGTTTGCTGCATTTTCTAAACATTAGCTCTACCACATACAGTATGTTGTAAACGCATGCTAAGAGAATACATGCCTTTGATGGGTGGTAAACATAATTTATTTTCCAGAGCCACTCCTGTGAAAAGTGGTCACTAAATCATGAAGTCATAAACAGGAACACCACCCTTCAAAGATATGTATTTTATTTATTTCATTAATTGAGCATCTGGCATGCTAAGTCCCATTTTATCCATTAATAAAAGGAATATGCAGTTTAGATATATGGTGGGCCTTAAGTTATAAAGCTGCTTTATTAGTTGTGGGCATCTAACTAGCTTCCATTAAATATGTAGAATTTTACTGTTCATTAGGAACACTGACAAGCAGATTTGGAAAGATAAGTATAACTTTCCCCTCCACCACTGTAACTACTTCAGACAAGACAATATTCAAAGTATGGTTCTAACCTAAAAATGGTTAAGTAAAAATGGTACTTTCTTATACAACAGATGTGGTCCATATGTGTTCAGAGTTATATATGCTTACCATAGTATATGGGGATGTGTTGGGGCTGAGGGGGGTCATTTGTCACTTTTTATTCTTTTATAAATGCAGCCCTGGGCAAACGATCTATTCTGGTTTGTGCATCGACTGAACTTATCACTGAGTTCTCAACACAGAGCCACATCCTGACCTCAGTTACATCTATAGAACCCTATGGAACCCAAGAGCAAAATCTAATGACAACTGGTTTGGACAGGTGTTGCTGGGGGACAGAATTTGACTTGCAGAATATTTGCTACTAGTGGTGATGCTCGAGACAGAAAGAAAATTATTTTTAAAATACAAGTTGAGTTGGTGTGTCAGTCATTCAGAAAAAAAATTCTTTACACTTATAAACAGGAAAAAACATTCTTTGGAATCAGTAAGACATAGTAAAGATGGAACCACACTGCTATTTTTATTAAATAATTGTTCAAGAGTAGAAGGGCACTTTAAACATGTGCAGTTTTAGAAAGCATGCATATACAACTTCTAAGCCTAATGGTGGGTGGGTGTGTACAGCACTGTTTTAGTCACAACATCAAAAAAAGATTACTCACTCTGTCACGACGGCTTGCTATTTCTGCTTTAATCTGATATGGGTCATACTTGGTATTAGTTGAAAATCCAGAGAATGCTAAACAGATGGAAAACAATGGTATTTTATAATACATTTTTCACGTTTTCAATGTGTTAAATGATAGTGTGTGCAAACATGTTTCTAAAACTTCAAAGCCACAACTCAGCAAATCACTTAAGCATGTGCTTAACTGTTTTGTGGGATTGTGGCCAAAAACAGTACATACTTGTCAAAGTGTGGCTACACGTCATTCTGGGTTCCCAAAGTTGAGTCATTCTATTTCAAAGATGGAATAAGCTTATTTGTCTACATACAACTTCCAGACATGTCTTTGTAGGATATGATAATCATGTGTTACAAGACTTACTCAGTGTAATTATTTTTGAGTACAACACAGGAATGTTTGTAGCCAAAATGATTTCTTCTAAACAGTAAGGTCTAAAAATTGACAGTACAGTTAATGGATGTTTCCATTTATTTTTCTTGCAGTTTAGGAACTTTCATAGGAATGTAACAAATTTAATGTCCCTATGGTAACACAGATTTTATTTACAACCTCCTCAACATGATTACAGATAGAAGGCATTTTTGGCTGTTAATTAAGTGTATGGTATTTATATGCAATACATAGAAGAATTTATTTAGCTGGACAAAATTTGGACTGAATAGAATGTGAATCAATCTGCTACCAAATACATAAAAAGGAAGTAAAATCACATCACAAATTTCAATTTAATAAAGCCCTTCTAAGAACAGAAAACTAGGAAAAATTGTTCCACATCAATATCAGTTTCCAGCTCAATCACTGATGAAATTAGGTCTGCTTGCAACTCAGTGCATGCAGTAACCACATGCAAGTTTACAGTTCAAAAATTTCCTCACTCTCAGAGTTACAGCCCCCCAACAGTGAGTGTTTTAATAATCTCATCACAGCTTCTCTTAAGACAGAGTTTCAATTTAAAGACACCTTTGTGTTTTCTCTTTTGGTAAACTGAGGTTTTCCAAGATGCAACATAATTTTGCACACTAACATATTCTTTCTGTTATAAGGTACAAGATTTCAAAAGTCAATCTGGGCTGAATTCCAACTGGGAAGTTATTTCGTGTGTACCTAAAGTTATTCACTATCTATCCTGAATTGCTATATAGCAGCACTGTCTGTTGATTAAAAGCTGCTACCTTCCATTCCAGTGTAACTATCAGGATCATCTCCAGAGCCTTTTTTAGAAATCGTCACTACATTAACTCCCTTCCAGTTATTTAGCACGCGGGCTTGTTTAAATGTTTATTATTGTTTAATTTATCAATTTATTCCAAAACCTCCCTTTATTGACGCCTCAATCTGGGACAGTTCCTCAGATTTGTTGTCCAAAAAGGATTGCTCTGATGTGGGTATCTCCCCCAAATCCTCTGCATGAAGACAGATGCAAAGAATTCATTTAGTTTCTTTGCGATAGCCTTGTCTTTCTTGACTACTCTTTTAACACCTTGGTCGACTATTGGCATCCCTCTCTTTTTGGCAGGATTCTGATGTACTGAAATTCTTACTGTTAGTTTTTCCATCTTTAGCAAGTTGCTTCCCAAATTCTTTCTTTCATGGCCTGCCTTATTATACTTTCACACACAACCTTCCAGAGATCATGTACCTTCTTATTTCCTTATTAGGAGTTGACTTCCAAATTTTAAAGATGCCTTTTTCCTGTTACAGCCTCCATTACTCTGCTGTTTAGCCACAGTGGCATTCTTTTGGTCTTCTTATTGTCTTTTCTGATTTGGGGCATGCATTTAATCTGAACCTCTATTATGCTGCTTGCAGGCATTTAATCCTTGTGACAGCTCCTTTTAATTTCCATCTAACAAGCGTCCTCATTCTTGTGTAGTTCCCCTTTTCAAAGTTAAATGTTACTGCAGTGGGATTTTTTGGTATTATCCCCCCACAAGGATGTGACACACAATGTCTCTTCATACTGTAGGAAAAAGAGAACTTAATGTGTGCAGTTTAATGCAATGCTGAAGTGGAACATAATGGTCTATATGGCAAGTAATTGTTTTTTTTTTTAAATGGAGAGTTGGGAAAGAATTCTTTTCCATCACCTTCCAAGGAAAAAATGAGTATAAATGTCCTTAAATGATAACAAGAAATGTTTAATTTTAATGCCCCCTCATCCATTCCCGGATGTGGCTCTGATCAGAATGCCTGTTTTGGGATTAGAAAGGATTTTTTTTCCTTTTGCACCAAATTAGCAAGGTGTCCGGGGAGAGAGGTCTGGGTTTTGCCATGGAAGTCCTGCTGGTTTAAAGGAAAAAGGAAAGGAATAGTTAATGTTAAGCAGTAATACAGAGAATACCTAATTTTTTAGCAATTAGCAGCCAGTGTCTAATGCGGATAAAAAGGCTAAAAGGGCCAGCTCCCAGAAGTAAATATGCTTAAGAGTCCCAGAAAATGGCTGGTGGACCTGTTAGAGTGTAGAGAAAAGAGGAGACCTGAAGCCTTTGCAGACTGAGGTAGTAAAAGGATTCTGAAGTGGGCCAAGTCCAAGAGGTTAGGTTGGAGACTGCTAACTCTAATTTGCTGGGTTTATTGTGTGAAGCCATTTAGCTTAGCACTAGGCCCAATAAAATGCCTGGTATTTCAGGGGAGTAGGATGAGGGGAGAGTCCTCTCTACACATTGTTAATAAAGTTGTAGCCTGACATTTTATAAGACAGCTCAGCATTTCATTCTGCTGTGTGTCTCGATCAATTGTGGAAAGAACTTTATAACACTGAATAAACCATGCAGTAACTTGCCAAAAGAGGTTGTGCAATTGCTATCAATACATGGACTGAAATTCTCTAATCCATTATTTCATGAACTTTTTCATGGTGTTGATCACAACTTAGTAGTGAAAGAGTTTCATGGACACCTCTGCTTCCACCTGTAAACATACAGATCTCACCTTCCCCTGCTCATGAATACATAGCCTTGATGAACTTACAGCAAATGCATACATAGAAAAGTCTATGTATTTTTAACTGTCTTTTAATCTGATTTGACAGATGGAAACAAGAAGATTGTTCGACAAACCAGCTCTCCACAGATCCAGAACTGCTCTAACTGGTCAGAGACCAATATTTAGAAATGTTTACAAATACTGAAAACATTTTTACTGGTCTAAAATGTTTCTAGATCTTAAAGCACATGTGAAACAGTTTATTACAAATATTTTTCCAGTATTTTATTAGGCTTCTGATTCCGGGGAATGCCAGCAACACATCTCAATAGTTCCAGAAACTTCAAAATTAGTTAGTGTTTGTACCTTTCCTATAGATACTCTCCCAGCAAAGTCTGAGTAATTGTTTGCGTCCAATTCTGCTGCTGTCATACGCAGTTTACCTTTTCTGGGTAGAAAAAGAACTACAACAGCCCCAATCAAATAAAGCAGTTTAAAAAAAATCAGACCTTATTTCCCCAATATTTTCTCCACTTATATAAAAATTGCCCTGTGCAAGATGATAGGCAATAAGTTATCAAAATTAGTGGAACTAAAGTCTTGTGGAACTACTGAAAGTCTTGAAAAATAAATAAAATATTTTTATAAATTGGATGACCTTCCTATTTTAAAATGACATTAAATTATATTAACTTGCTCCCCCCCGCCCATTTCAATTGTGACATGATTTTAGCAGCCAACCTTGCAGGTCACAAGAGCTGGGATTTAAATGTGTCATAAAGCATCAGTTTCAGCCTCTTCTAGTGTTTGCAACAGCAGCAACTAAAACCATGTTAGACTATAAGTGGGAAGAAAGCAAGAGGTATGACTTTGGCATCCAGTACCTCAGAAACCAAAAGGCCAAAAACAAAAGCTATTTCTCAGCTTTCCAACAGTACATACCACTAGTGGTTTGATAGATATTGGACTTTGCCACTGACCCCTGGGACCAACAAAGTTTTTTTGGCCATTGTTACAGGAGTACATATATTAGATCAGGGTAATTTTCAGAAATTCAGATTCACACTAAGAATAGATAAGAAATTAATAAGGGTTTTATAGAAATCTATTAATATTATTCTGGGACTATAGGGAGGGAAGGACAAAGACTCAAGAAGTTCCTTACAACTCTAATATATAAAGGAACTTAGTTTTATTTATCAGCTCATTGATTATTTCAACAACAAATTCTCAAGTAGTTGTTGCAGAAAACAGCAGAAAAAATGTAAGATGCTTTTTGCACAGCTCTGAAAATACACCTTTGATTTTAAATAAATATTAGCACTACAGTGATAGATTTTTTTAAATATTCTGAAACCAGAGGGCAAACCATGTAAAAATTATTCACAGATTATAGGTATTAGGAGGGAACTAAAATAGTGAACCTGGAAATAAGGACAGCCAAATATACCTTTCACTTTAGAGGAAAAGAGACGTATGCACTTGAGAAAACAGTCAAACATTAATTCATTTACTTTTCATTTGTCATAAATGCTACTGCAATGATTGCTAATTATTAAAGATAAATACTTTTAAACAGGGTCTTTTCTTTCCAGTCTATTTTCACTACTTGATCCTGCACTTAAATGTATAATGTTGCTATTGTTAACATGTTACTATGATGTCACAAAATGTTACAATTAACATTTAAGAAAGAGAAGATGGAAATGTGTAGGAGAAATCTGTCTTAAATAATTGCTATTTAAATAAATCACTTGCCACATAAATATAGCTGAAAGAAAGCAAGTTTAACAGAACAACTACACCTCTACCCCGATATAACGCGACCCGATATAACATGAATTTGGATATAACGCCGTAAAGCAGTGCTCCGGGGGGAGGGGGAGGGCCTGCGCACTCCGGCGGATCAAAGCAAGTTCAATATAATGCGGTTTCACCTATAACGCAGTAAGATTTTTTGGCTCCAGAGGACAGCGTTATATCGGGGTAGGGGTGTATTTACCTTACAGTAACTACAATTCTTCAAGATGCTGTAGTCACTGTGGACTCTTGTGTGTGCACATGCAACTCACACACAAGATCAGTTTGTTTGTTTTTAAACAGCAGAGTCCATCAGGGCCACACACATGCTCTCTGCCTTCTCATGCTCCCATGTGAGGGCATAAAGGGAAGAGAGCCATGACTCTCCCTTAGTTCCCTCGTAACTGAAAGCTTGGAGTAGCTGAAAACCCAAAAAGCAGGGCTGGAGGTTGTGGGATCCACACTGACATCATCATCTCAAAAGAGCCACAATCATGTGTAGGATAAGGAAGAAGGACCGGGGAGAGCATGTGTCAGTGTGGATCCCACTTTAGGTGACTGGAAACCAGTAACCCCTCAGGATGGTAGGAATGAGGAGTTCCAATTGCATCAGTTGAATAGGGATTGTAGTATTGCTCTCACAAAGTTGGTATTTGGCCTAGCAGCTAAGACCAAGGAATAGTGCTTGACAAATGTCAGAGGGTTATTCCAAGTCACTGCCTTATCAATCTCTGATATTGACAAAATCCTTTAGCAGGCAGAGGATATTACTTGCACTCTGGCAGAGTTTGAGACTTGATGTTTGGTGGGAGAAGTGGACAGGCAAGTGAGGTACTTTGTGTTATCCATTTTTATATTCTTTGAGAAGAAGTGGCTGGACCTTTCAAATGTCCAGCAAATGCAATAAATAGATCAGGCTACAGTCTGAATGCTTTATCATACTGACAGGAGCAAACTAAAGTCATGAAAATGTCAACTATATGTATTTTCTTTCCTCCTTGAGCAGAGTGTGATTTCAGGACAAAGGCAAGTAGGATGATCAGCTGGTTTAGATGAAAATCAGAATAAACTTTGGGTGTTGTCTCAACACCATTTTGTCACTATGGAAGGTCATATAAGGGGACACAGCCATAAGTGCTTGAAGCCAGCTCACTCTCTGTTGAAATAGCCTGGAAAGACACCATCTTCCGAGTGAGTTAGTCCAGGGAACATTCTGAGAGAGGTTCACACGGAGGTTTCGTAAGTTTCAGAAGGACCATACTAAAGTATCGAGCAGGAGCAGGTTTTCTGACCAGTATGCACGAGTCTCTTGAGAAACTTCGATACTATGGGATGATAAAAGATCAAGCACTGCAGTACAAGCAGGTGGTGACCTGAAATCACTATGAAGTGGACCCTTCATAGTGCTAAATGGAAGCCTGATGCTTCAAAGGTAGTAGAAGATCTTCAGTACTTAAGTCTGTGTCATGTCCAGACCATGATGGGCTGCTTATATTGAGAACCTCTGCCATTTAGATGAGTAGGTCCATCTGATAGATATTTTCCTACTTTGAACCAGAATTTCCTGGATCCTATCCATGGTACTTAACCAGTCAACAGCCATACTGTTAGATGTGGCAACTCTGAGTCTGGATGAAGTATCTGACTACAGTGTTGTGAGATTAGGTCAGAATGGTCCAGGAGTTGGTTCAAAGACTGAATAGACATTGGTAAGAGACCTGTCAGCCAAAACCGCCTCACCCAATCCAGGGGCAATGAGAATGACCATGGCCTTGTCTCTCCCGGTCTTGGAGATCATCAGGGGAATCTGTGGGACAGCCTATTGGAGACCACTGTTCCACTGTAGGAAGAATGCATCCAGTAACGATCCTGGGCTCAGTCCACCTCTGGAGCA